TGGGAGTTGACGTTCACCCAACTTAAAGCGGCTGAGGTTGAGAAACGCTGGTCTACATTATGAGGCTAGTTCAAAACACACAGAGCAATGATACTGATAAAGTATTCGGACTTTGTCCTTCAAAAAATTAGTTGATCTGCTATTACAAGGCATTCGTTTAACTTTTTTTTCATTTTCAAACCTTCCCGACTAGTCAAATGATTATTCAAGACAGCTAACACTGGTGGTAATAATAATAATAGTAGTAGTAATAATAATAATAATAATTATTATTATTATCATCATTAGTCACTTTGTGTGAGACGGGTGGCAAACAAACAAATAACAACAGAGCCTCGATTGTACCATCATAGCCCCCCCCTTGACTTTTTCGACCCTACCCTAAAGAGAGCATTATGAAAAGTATTGATACGTAACGGCCCGTGGGCCAGCACCGACGAAATCAGGCGGTGCCCGTCGCTGGGAAGCACTCACTGGCGAACATGAGCGTGGCCACGGTGATGGAGGGGATCCAGGACGTGGCGCCTGAGCGCTCTTCGAAGTAATCGGTGAACGCCACGAAGAAAACGCCGAAGGAGCGGATGACGCCAAAGATCAGGGCGGACTGCAGAAAAGCCGCCAGGACGATGGCCCACCCCCAGCCCCCATCCAGGGCGCCATCCCGGGCATGGGGAGGGCTCATTCCAGGCAGGAGTTTAGGTCTCTCCGTTCCCGTGGAAGGGCAGCACCACGACACCTCCCGAGCCGAAGCAGTCTCCCGGCGCCACCTCCCTTCACGCCTCTCGTTTGCCCAAGCCGGGACCTGCGCACCTTAAGCAATCCATATTTCAGTGCCCTCTTATCATCGAAAAGTCGGTCAAAGTTTGCAGCAAGGCGTGCAGATTTCCTGGGAGATGGGCAAGTCCAGGGTGGAGAAATCAGGCTTTCAGCGGGCATGCCCACAAGACAAGGAGTCGAAGGGTCTGTGTAAACCAGTGTTTCTCAGCCTCAGCAACTTTAAGATGGGTGGACTTCAGTTCCCAGAATTCCCCAGCCAGCATGCTGGCTGGGG